ACAGATAAATAGAGAGAGAGAGAGAGAGAGAGAGATATTTAATATGGAGAGAAAGATAGATATGAGAGAGAGAGAGATAGAGAGAGAGAGATAGAGAGAGAGAGATAGAGAGAGAGAGAGAGAGAGATAGAGAGAGAGATAGAGAGAGAGATTTCTGTTGCCAAAGGAAGCTTAAAAAAGGACGTGTATTACTGTATTACTCTTCTCAAGCATGCTGCAAACACATTCCTTCTTGCCTCGGCCTGTATCTCATCTTTTTACATCTTCTGTCTGTCTGTCTGTTTTTTCCCCAAACCCTCTAATGACACCCCGGTTTTGTGTAGTTAACAATCAGTTGGCAAGTGGGTGGTTGGCGGGTGCTCTGGTGTGGTTTGCTTTTTCTTTCCTATCAAACATCTATCGTCTTTATCTCCCCTCCTTCTGTTTTGTGTTTGTTACTCTCTTGTAACACCTTATCATCGGGACGTATATGACCTTAATATGTTGCAAGTGCCGTAAAACTCTTACTAGTGTGGTTGGCGGGTGCTCTGGTGTGGTTTGGTTCTTCTTTCCTATCAAACGTCTATCGTCCTTATCCCCCCTTCTTCTCTTTTATGTTTGTTACTCTCTTGTAACACCTCTAATCTTCTGGCGCTCATATGACCTTATGCAGTCGCGAGCGCCGTAAAACCTCTACTAAAGATAAAACTAAAACTCTTACTAAAACTAAACTAAATCAGTTGACACAATGACAACCGTGGTGTGCCAGATAGATAGATCAATATATTAATGTATATAGTTACAATAACTGAACGAGGAGGAGAAGAAAAGCACACCAACATTCTCATGAACCATCCGTCCTTAGTCCTATCCTGAACATTTCTCGAATAATTTAGCGTGTTGAGGTCGATGACCTCTGAACTCCGAATACGTGAAAGGAATAGGAGCACTTTCTGTTGTTTGTTTTTTGTTTTTTCTTTTTATGTCTGTTTATTTTTCAAGTCAGTCTATGAACCGCGCTTGATACACGAGGTGACATCAGCTTTAGAGTTCCTTTTCTGGATGTTGCAAATTTTCCCTGCAACTAAGAAAAATTAAACGTTCGCAAATATACGCAAATCGATAAGTCTGTGTTTGCTGAAAATTAATTGGCGATGGCACCTTTCTGGCCTGTTGTCAAGCACAGGCTCTGTTTTCTTTCCCAATACTTACACCAGAGCGCGCTCCGTTATTCCAGGCGGTGTCGTTCTGGACTGCGGAGCGGATGGTCCTAGTTCGAATCCCAGACTGGGTGTTCTTGGACTCGGGTCGTTTTGTGGAGGTTTAAAAAGGCTCTCAGTCCGCTTGCCTCGGTCTTATCCGAGACGGACGTTAAATTCGGAGGCACCTGCTCATAAATAGCCAGATATTGGTAAAGGGGGCATTATACAATAATGACGAATTTGCTGACCTGTTGTTGTTTTTTTACACCAGGATTTTGATATTGTTAGTGGTGAGTCACGGCGGCGAGGCACGACTTTCTTACCCAGCACTCTTAACAGGGTTTTGATATAATCTGTTGATGGTGATTCCGGCGAGGGTGTATTCAAGAAGTATCACTCTTGCTTGTGTCATGGTTGATGGGAATATTAATATTAGTCGTTAATGTGATCTTTTGCAGGCTTGCCAACTATCCCTGATACAGCGATTGGGAGTTTGAGAAGAGATTACATACACTACACAAAAACCAGTCCCACTTGATGTAATTTTGTTCGTTGTTATGCAATCTGGTGTAATTACGTTGGGTATTCTTGGTTGAGTTATGAAAAGTTGGCAATCCTGTCTTTTGTAAAAATACGACGTCTTTGCGATTTGTCCAGACTTGGACCAATTGGAATCGAGTTGTGGATTCTTCCACTTGATCGAGCTCGTAACAAGGTGGGGGGGGGGGGGGGGGGTAGGGCGAGAGTCGGTGAGGGCGGCAGTGGGGAACCAGCGCGACTCGCCTTGTACCAGCATCCTGACATTCCTTAGCGCAGTGCTTCATGAAGCCTCGGCGTCTATCGATCTCGTAGACTGGCGTGTCGGCGCCCGCTATTGCTAGCCCTCTCCACAATCACCCAGACAGAAATAGCAACTTAAAGAGTTGGTAAAAGTTGGCAGAGACACGATTGATTGATTGATTCTGCTCCACAATCGAACCTTAAATGAGAAACTCTATACTCGTGAGTTCTTGAGGTTTAAAAAAAAATTTTCTTCTCCATCTTCTTACCGTTCTTTCTTATGATCTGCCTCCCTCCTTTTTGTCACCTAAAATGACACTAAGTAAACCTGCTAATTTGCTATTTTTTCTTCTTCTGTTGTGTCTTTGTTGGCTCTTCCTTAACCCAAGTAACAATGATTTTGTATTCAAGGTTATGTTTTTTAAGTTTTTAATTCTCTTTGGGTTGGTTGTCATCTGAGTTGTCAGTTAGGAAATCAGGGTATGTTTCAACTTCAGCACGTAGTAAAAAAAAATTATTTGGTCTTCTCTTGGATTTGGTAGAGAAGTTTTATATTTTCTTCCTGTGCCAAGCACATTAGTAATAAGTGTGTCTCCCAAATTAATACAATTTAGATCATTTTAGAGCAGGCTGCTTCAACTGTGTCTTTCAGGGCCACTTGTGGGCTGTGGGATACTTTCCTGGCCCAGACTAATGGCGAGAATACTTGGTAAACTGTTTTTTTATTGTGGAAATTCAACTTCTGTTCTTTTCATGCAAGGGAAAATGTCTGGCTATTATTACAATGCAGACACTGGTGGGATTTACCTTCTGCTCGAAAGGAAAGCTGCTTCTAAAATGCCGACAGTGTGCTGATACGAGCATCACACTTTTCTTTCTTATTGTTATGTAGAACTGCCTCTGCTATAGTTTGTGAGGTATTTTATAGGAAAACCCGAAGTGAATGTTCAGTTGTTTTTTAAAATCCTACATCACTGAAATAAAGAGATATATATACTTCCAGAGCACAACCGTATTGATAAATTGACATAACAATGTGTATTTCCAGATGGAGAAACTGGTTAAAGAAATGCAGCAATCGAAGTCGGGTGTCCCTGTTCGCACCCAGACAAGGTTTCTCGCTTCCATTCCTTCTGTTTTCAGTGGTAAGTGCTGCTTTCCCTTTGTTTGTGTTACAAACTTAAATTTCCTCAGTTCTTCTGCATTTATAAATTAAATTGTGCTAAATATGGAGGATGATAAGATGTTCAGTGATTATTTATTTCTTCTTTTTTTTCTTCTTTTTTTTTTCTAACTTTTTTGTTGCTTCCTTTTTTCTCCCTCTTCTCCACCGTTTTTCTCTCTCTTTCTGAATCTGTCCTAAACCACCCGCCTGTCTTTCTGTGTTTCTCTCTCTCATGTCACTATTATATCGCGCTTTCATGGTGTGGTGCATCATTAATCAAACTAGTAATCTATGTGCAATGGAAGTTATGGCAGGACTTTGCAGAAGAAAAACATTTGAGTAATGTCCTTCTCATACAGACAATGATTTTTTTTTTGTCGGCTGGTTGTGAATTCTAATAGTTGGTCAATACAACTATACTGTGCATGAGGTGAGTATCCAATGAAAGTGCTAAATATTTTTAATTGCTGTGGCTTAATCATTTTGAATCCAGAGTATATGATCTTTTAAAGTCCGGTAAAAAAGGTGAATGCTTTCCTGTAACCTCCTCTTTAATTCTGATCAACTAAAGTTCCCTGACTTTATAAAAATTTACCTTCTGTTTACCCAAATTTACTTGTACCCAGGCTTCATTGTCGTTTGGCCGCTGCTCTTTAGAAGTGTGTTAACTTGATTTACAGATGATCAAGTTGGGCATTTCTGCTCTTGCCCAACCTTGCTCCTTATCAGTTGTTTTAAATTTACCTTACTTTACTTTTTGCTCCTAGGGAGTGACTTAATTCACTGGCTGTCTAATCGCCTGAAGATCAGTGAAGAGGAACACACGGAGGCCGTGAAGTTGGCTGTTCTTTTGTGCCATTATGGATACATCTTTCCTGTTGCCGATTCACGAAACCTAACAGTGAAGGAGGATGCATCTTTGTATCGATTTCAGGTAGTTTGTTAACGAGTTTTAAATATTTAGTCTAGAGTAGACATAGGTTGCCTATTTTGAAAACTCACACTTTGAATTGTGTTAGGCTGTGCAGCTTTGAAAAACAGATTTGAAGTCTTTGGATAACAAAATGTCTTGATCCGCATTCGTTCATTCAGCATGAGAAAAGTCAAGTCGAAGGTGAAAAGTGAAACTAGATAAATATGAAGGTTCTTAAATCCTTGGTTGTTTTAAAAACAGTAGATGTTTAACTTTAGGTATGAATTGAAACATAGTATTTTCTTTTATGCTACATTGTGAAGGTGAAAAAAGGATCTCAGATCTATATCTCATACTACTGGCAGTCATTAGCTGTTTATCAGTGTGGATTGTGCTGATGTATGGTTGTTTACTTTGAGTAAGAAGAGAAAGTTTTCTTATCCTGACATTTTCTTCTTTTCATAGTATGGAATTTTTCAAATTGAGGCTATCAGCTGGTACATTGTTTTTTGTAAACATGAATATATCTTCTGTTTCAACTGGTACTTAGCTTTGCTGTTTGGTCAAATACTCAGCTGTATTCAACATCTATATTCTTAGTTGTTATGAAAAGCATCATAAGAGCTGAATGACAAAACGAAAGTAGAACTTTACAGTGCTAATGAAGACAACTGAATCAGCAATATATATTTCAATGTAAGCAAACAACCAGTCAAAGAACATCAAAGGGGAAAAAATCTATAGTATAGGAAATGTGAGGTAGGAATGTTTATGGAAGACTTTCATCCTTCTAAAATGAAAATATAATATAATTCATGGAAGATTTTATTAACTAGACTAACTTCTTATAATGAGTTTTTGAGATAATCGTTTTACTCTGTGCATTAAAAAAACCAAACAAACGGAAACCATGATTGCAGAAATTAATATTCATTTACTTTAAGGAGCTCTTTGAAATTCATAGGAGCATTGGTATGATAACTTTCCTTTATTTTCATGAGTAACAATTATAGTTAAAATTTAAGTTGTGAATTCTGATGTGCATGCTTTCATTGCATTGTACTTCACTCCTGATATTGACAACAGTAAAATGTGTTACGATATGCACTACCATCACACAACTTTTGGTTGTGATCATCGTCACTTCGACACCTACCACCAGCATTTGTTGAAAAGTTTGAATAAAAGCAAGATATTTCAATGGCCCACACCTTTTTAAAAGAAAAACACATGAACTAAAGAAATGCCAACATTGTTGTTATTGATATTGGAATAATCCCAGGAATGTACTAAAGGTTCCATGCTATGTGTGGTAATATACATGCGTTAATACAGGATCTGTGCTGGTACAGTCAGATAACAAGCATAAGGCAGGAAATAATGATTGTGTACTTTTACAAATATTTGTATTTCTTTGCCGTGATTGATATAAGGCTGCGAGTCATCCAATTTGATTATAAATCACCATGCCAATTTCGTAGTGTAATCATAAAAAAATTACAAAGAAAATTCAGTTCCCAACAAGTCTAAATGAACTAAATATGCATACTACTTTTTTGTATCATCTTATTGACTTTATGTAGCATTTCGTGCTAGTCAATTCTTTATGTGCACTTTTCTGATTCAGCTACAGGTGTTTGTTTCAATGCCAGTTATATACGAGCTTTCTCTCTTTTTCATTTGTTCAGTTGCCAGTCATACATTCCCTTCAGCTCTTGCTGTCACCTTTGGAAAAATTTGCTTTTACTTCCAACATCCAAATATATATGTGTGTCTTTTTATTATTTTCTATTATTTCAATGTTGAAACTTAAGTACAACTACTTTTATTGAATTATGGAATTACTTTTTGAGTTCTTATTGCCTGAAAGCACTTGATTTTTATTACACCTTGTGTGCTCATGATTCATTAAGAGAGACATGCATCTGTTTTAAATCAGTTCATCCAGTGTGTTATAATTTTCCTAGGCGAAACAGATGTATTCATTGCTTTTGACTATTGTACAACTTTTGCTTGTTGGTTATATTTTATTCTTTTGACCCACATTTGCAGTTTGCACAGTTTTTCTCTTCGTTGGAATAACGCTTTCCCCCTCTTTTTTTCCTTTTATGATTCTCACAGAATCCTACCTACTGGCCTTCTCAAAATATGGAGCCTGATAATGTTTCTTATGGTCTGTATTTTACTCTTTGTATGTTTATGTGTATGTATGTTATGTATGTATGTTATTTACGTAGTGCAAAATGTCGGGGGTTATTTGTTTTGTGTTCAGTTTATGTTCACAGAATTGCTTCTTAATAGAGTTTTATGTTATGCAAAAAGTTTGTTAATTTCAGTATTCCTCCAAATGTATATAAAAAAATGAAAGTGCAAAATTCAGTAGCAGTGATTTGAAGAGGGGCATATATGAGGCAGTAGTTGGCAATAAAAAAACAGCAACCCAAGAGAAAAATTGAAAGAGTAGCTACCTACTCATGTGATTATGTAGCCCACTTGATATGAATTTTCTCTGTGTGTGTGTTCGTGTTGTTTTTCTGAATGAGGAAGGGTATAGGTAAATGATTTGATTAAATATTCATGAGTGTATAAATGTGCAATGAACTTCTACTTTATTTCAAAGGCTGTTTTATTTATACTCTCCATATGTCCTGTCTTTTGGTTTGTACTTACTATGCATTAATGTCACTAACATGTTCTGATTGTCTGGAGTTTTTCTGGGTTTTTCTTCTGTGAAAACTTGTTTTACGTTTTTTAAATTTACCTGCTTTTGTGTCAGGATGTGACATCAATTATTGCTGATATTCTACTGTAAAATATATTTGCTTTGCTCATCATATATATATGTTAATGTACTCTTTCGATACATCAGTGTCTGTGTAGCAGCATAATATAGAAATCTAATACTTTATGTTAATGTTAAACCCCTGGCTGATTAGTCAACATGACATGTATTTCTTTACTTTTCAGCAATTCATTTAGTGAAACGTAACTCTCGAAACAAGCAAAAGCATGGCCTTGATGATTATGAACAGGTAAATTGTCATTATTTGTTTGCAGTTCACCTTGTATCCTCAAAGTGTTGTGAGTTACCCCCCCCCCCCGGGACAGTGCCACTGACTGTAGTGTCTTTAGGTCATTCCCAAAGGGGGGACATTTCTCGTTCAAGCACAGTAGAATTGTAAATGGGCTGATTCATCATGTCACGCTCAAAACTGTGCCTGATCTGCAACAGGGAACTGCTGCTTTTTCTTTCCTAATCCTTACTATTGTCATTTTCCTCTACTTCTTTTATATATGTTTGTCACTCTTGTGACCTGCTATTTGTGGGGTGCCTTGATAGTCGAAGCAGACTTTGTGCTGTTGAAGCTAGACAGGTGAGCAGAGTAAGTCTGATTCCCTGTAAGGACTCTCTATTGACACCCACCCCTTGGCGCTCATATGACCTTATGCAGTTGCGAGGGCCGTAAAACCCTCTATTAAAAGAATAAATAAATAGAAGTGTTGTGTCAAAACGGCACTGGGCTACTTTTAGTCCTCACTTCCCTTTGTTTGACTCAAGTGATACTGCAGTCCTTGACTCCTCAGACTGGGCCAATACTGACTGTGTTGGCAATTTTTAGCACACATTAAAAAAATGTCTCTACTGATTTGTTGAAGTTTTATAAGATGACATGTGGAATATCTTTGTTTGAAACAATTAAATAGATTACGATTAAAGTACAGAAACGGGTTAGAGATGGCCAGTGCCCTGTGAGGAAAATATATGTGACTAGGCCTGGATGAACTAGAACTGTTGACGGAAATATACGCCACTGGGGCTGTAAGCGTTAATTGGCAAAATGTTTGGGGTTTTTCTTAGCTCACGAGCACATCATAGGTTTTGGGGTTGTTGTTTTTTTCTTTTCTTCTGAACCTTCAAGAACTTTGTCATTCTTACTAGAATAGTCTTTGGATGTGTAAGTGTTGTGTGCCGATATGATTGTGAGTATGTTTGTGTGAGCCTGTTTTTGTGTGCTTATTTGTATACCTTTGCAGGGCTAGATTTGTTGGAGTATATGATATATGTTGGGGTACCGGGGTGGGCAGACCTGCCAAGTATCTGATAAAATCGAAACGCTCTGATATTTTTTGTACCCGTGGAAGAACTCCGTTCGGATTTGCTTAAAATCCTATATTTTTTTCCCTTGAATTCTGTATCCACCGATCGTATGCCCATTTTTAATTGCATTTTTTTTTCCAAAATTTTTTTGACTTGTTATAAATGACGCAATAATATGCACATTTTTATCTGTGCGTATTTGCCATCCATGATTATTTGCCACTTTGGTTTGATGCATCAGCCTAATCTACTGAGGTTCTGGAGACTCCAATTTTTTTCTCCAAATTCTGAAATTTTTAAAGAGGAATTTGAGGAAAACTCCTATTTTCGGTCATGGAGTGGCTGGAAGGTCTGGTTGATAGTTCAAAATGTAGTATCATTTTGTAGCAAATAGTTATATGTACTTTTTAATGGGTGCAGGCAGATAATTTTGAGCGGTTTTGGGCCCAGACATGAATTTTTTTTCTTTGCATATTCTGATAGTTCCATCTTTGGCTTGACTTATACATTGCCAAATTATATCAAAATCCGGCCACGTATGTGTAATTACCACGCATTCCGACTTTTAAACGCGTTTTTCTCAAAACTGTGTTTTCAGCATTATCCAGTCACTATTTTCTTAATCATTTTATTTATGTATTAAGGTATTTTCGTCCAACTTGGCATGTGTGTGTACTTCAACATGTTTCACAGGTTACTGAAGAATTAGATTCAGGGTACACATGCTATTATTGCATTTTTTATTATTATTCTAACTTACCCACCCCCACCTATTTTTTTAATCATCTGAGTTTTGAGTTGCGCTGCCACTTTAAAACATCATACAGATATATTTTCTCCTGTCAGTGACCTGTGGCAACATGTCTACTTGGGGAAATAAAAAGGAAAGTTGGACTAACCTTTCAAAATTTAAAAAAAACGATTTTAGTAAGAAAATTTTACCCCTACCATGAGAAGGCAAAACACCCAGTATGGCTGCCATTTCCATGTCAACATGAAGAGTTAAATTTTAGAGAATTTTACATATATGGATTCTCAACACCACATCCTAAGGTATACAAAAGGGGCACTCCTAAAGCGTTTTTCTCAGTAATGAAGAAAATGGATTTAAAAAAGGTAGCCTGCCCTTGGTTGTTATGTAATGTTTGTATTTAAAAGAGATGTGTGTGTGAGTGTGTCTGCCAGTGTGTGTGTGTGTGTGTGTGTGTGTGTGTGTGTGTGTGCCTGTTTGTGTGTGTGTGTGTGTGAGTGTGTGTATGTGTGCACGTTCATGCGTACTTGTGTCTTTGTTAATTTAAGATGATGTCCCTCTGTATTATTTCAGGCTAGTTTAGCAAAGCTGAATACGATGCTATGTGATAAGTGGGACTTCATTGTCACTCAGGCTCAAGCCCAAGTAAAGTAAGGCTCATTGTTTTTTGTCTTAGTCAGAAATTTGAGAAAATGAAGAAAAATGTACATGTTTCTCGATGAAATGGTATGGGTGTTTTTTGTTTTCTTGAAAGTTGGTGTGGGGAGAAAGGAGCAGTCAGTGTAGATAGTATTTTTACTGATTTTTACTAGTTCAACTTCTGCACAAGGGCCATTGCGTCATGAGAATCTTAAATCAGCATATATACTTAAGACAAAACTGAAGGCAATGAGGCCAGGGTAGACCCAGATCAACCTACTTAGAGAGCCTAGACAGATGGTTGATGGGTAAAAGTCAGGATAATGTAGTTTTCTGAGAGCATTCAAGTAAAGGAATGAATGGTAAACGATGATCGCTGATGTCTATCTGAAATCTGGCACTTGATGATACTTGACAAACTACATTAAAAAACACATTTTAAAAAACATGTATTCAATTTGGCAAAACATGAAAAAATCCTCTTAAGTCACACTGTTCTAATGTGTCGAAGAGCTGGGCAGCCCTGTGATAAAAAATTTATGTGGATAGTCTGAAGACGTAGATTGTATCCTAGTATAGAGCCTGGACTGTGACCGGTAATGGTCACAAATAGCTGTGTGTGATACTTGAACTTTTGTCACCTAGAGATTAGCATGAAATTTTGATGGGCTTTGTTTTTTCCTTTTCAGAATTGCCAAAGAAAGAAAAAGAACGGATAAAGCGATTTTGGACAGTCAGGAGCGAGCTTTCTGGAGAATACACAGGCCTCCAGTAAGTTAGAGGCCAAATAGTGTGTATGTTCTTGTACTTGTTTGTTCACTCAATGAATGTTTGAACGTTTTGTATGCTGCCTGTGTTGAGTATTATTGAATGACATCTTGATGGCCATTGGCATGAACCATCCAACTCTGAATTTTGGTTTTATGTGTTTATGGTTGCCAGGAATCCCCCCAGTAGACTCCATGTCTATTTATATCCCAGTTATCAGACCATTATGAATGTGCCAGCCACTTGTGCAGTTGGAATATGTATGCCCCATCGCCACTTTAAAAAAAATTATGTTTTTTTTTCTTTCTTTTGTAACAATCAATGTCTCCAGACTTAATCTTTGGGATTTAGGCCTTTGATACGTTGTTTACAATGTTGGTAATTTTTTGCCACCAAAGTGTTTCGGCAAGTTCTGTTAGAGGGGTTCTTTGTGCACATGTTGACTAAGTTGATGTTACCTTTTATATAGAAGTTTGGCTTATGGGATAAAAAAAATTTTTGTTTTGTTTTCGGGGGGGGGGGGGGGGGGGGGGGATTCATGAATAACATCAGGTAGATCTACTTGGAATAAAAGGCATTATTACTAGAAAAGAAAATATGGGAATAGAATTTAGATATCAGTTCCTAATTGCTGCATTTTGCATCTTATGATTAGTTTCTTTACTGCAAGTTCACTGGGAGTGACAGTGTTTCAACAAGTGTTCAATTTTTGCTTGATGAACTCTTTTCACATGCAGCTGTTTTGAAAAGAGAGAGTTGTTTTTCTATCCCAAGTATTTATGAAAATTTTAATGGTGTTATCCATACTTATATCTTCAGCCTGGGAGCATCAAAACATTGGATGAAGGTTCGAAAAGAAATTTTCAACCTATGCAAATGGCTGCAAGACGCAGGAAAAATAAAGATCTACTTCAAAAAGAGGTACACTTAATCTTGGTATCTCCAAGCGGCGCGGCTAAAGTGCCGTCAGTACGTTAAGCCGCCCTCGGCGGCTCGAGAACCGATCTTCAATTTTAGCTTAGATTCTATTCCAATCCACATATCCATGTTAAAATAAAGGTCATAATATAATGTTAACTTCCGGGTCAAGCATTTCCACTGAAAATCAGAAGTCTAGATTTCGTTTTGAAACGCGATTTCGTAGTTTATTCGACTTTGTTTTATCGCGATGCCAAAATTATAGCCCAGACACCAGTCTTAGTAATTTTACACAACTAAATTTATCATTATTTTGCCCACTAAAGAAGTGTAGGACTCTTTTTTATAATATTGATACGATTGGACTCATATTGCCAATGCACTGTTGTTGAAAAATCAATATTTTTGAGTGCCAGATCTAGAAAGTCTAGGTCTAGATCTAAATTGTCAAAATAGTTTTTTCTCCCCAAAATCAGTACTTTTTGATGAAATTGCACAAAAAGTGCCACTCAAGACATGTATAGGTTTATTCCAAATGCAATTCTGAATAATTCCATATAAGATACGAGTGGTTTTTTTCTGTTTGTGATCGTTTTTCAAGATTATAACATTAAACAATTTTTTTTTCAATATCGGATGTTATGATCCAAATGTACAAATATTATGGAATGTATGTAAATAACTGCCAACTTTTCAATATTTTCCAGTTCTATATTCATTTATGGTTATTTTGATGTATCATTTGACTAGGTGCAAGCATATTTTTTGAGTTTCACCAAAGATTATAAAGTTTTTATTTTCAAATTTTATCCGCAAAATTGTGTTGCATAATCGCCTCTTACAGGAACCAAAGTTGAAAAATACGTAAAAATAAACATTACAGATGTATTCTACAGTCCATACTGAAAATATTGGTAAATAATATGTTGATATTTATTTGAATTTGTGGCCCCAAAGACCTTTTAACTGCCCACTAGTCATCATCTCATTCGCCCTCTCGAAAAAAAATTCGTCCACAAGCCGAAAATAATACGCAGCGAATGAGTTAAAACTGTTATTTTAAAAAATTCATATACTGTAGAATTTATTGAAGAAGTGGGCTATTTGTTTTACTCGTCATCAATATAGATTTTCTTACTGAAGCTTTTGTCGTAGAATATGAACAAACCGTTTGAAAATGTTTAGTTCACAGCTGAGCTTACATAAACTGTTTCTTCCACAGCTTCAGTATTTACGACATGCCATCACCATATGTCGAGTGAAAACCTCAAAAGCTATTGAAGGGTGAGCTTATAAGCTGACAAGTTATTTGTTTGGGTTTTTTTTGTTTTGTTATTAAAAGATTATTGATGTGCATTTATATTTAATGATATGATTTCAAGTAAAAGCAGAAAGTTGTAATATTATTCTACATGGACAAAAAAATGGATCTAGTAGTTATGGATGTTGCAAACATTGTTTTGATAGGATGATGTAAGATGAGAAGGTCCCAGTGGGCAATTGTTTTTATGTACTGAAAAGAAACAGGAGGTCATTAAAGGCAGTGACTGGCAGAGAATAAAAGGCAGATCAACATTTGTTAATGAGGTATCACATAATCAGGTATTTTTCTCATACGCATATTTTAATGTAAATGGCTGATTTAATAAAATAATATTAATAGTTTCATATTTAGCTGATGGCGCCTGATGGTCATCTGTGACTTAGCGTTGGTAGTGTAACAGTATCTTGAATTTTCATAGAATTATATAGAGCTAGGTTTAGTGATGAAAGTTTGTTTTCATGATGTATATCCAAGTGAGGTCTGGAAGATTCATTTATTGTGGTTCTGAGTTTCTGTATGTTGACTATTACAAAGAGTAAAGTTTCCTTGATGTACTCAGTTTATGAAAATAGCAGTATTATTAAAGTACTTTCTTTTTGTTTGTTTTAGCTTGAAGAATTTCACAGATCTGCACCATGAACTGGATCCGATGGTGACACCCCCACTACCTTCAAATCCCTGGATATCTGATGATACAACTTTCTTTGAAATATGCGAAGACAGGCATGACTTTTTGTCACTCTTTTGTAAATGTTCTATTTTTGTCATTTTTTCCCCCCCTTGCTTTCAAACTTAAATGTTTCGCAATCCTTGAAGAGTTTCCCTTTCGTGTTGATAAGTGTGGATACGAAGAAAAAAGTCACAGATACTTAAGCATATTTAAGGGAAAGCCTCATTGATTTAACCAAAGTATTGCCAATTTGTTGCAGATTCAGGTTTTTAACTAGATCTGAAATTCTTCATTTTTGTCTAATTCAGTCAGACACTGTGTTTAAAATTCTAAGCTTGACAGCAAATGAAATAGATGTCCACCTCATATAATTGAGTTTTTCATAAAATGTGAAATCTTTAGCATTTGAAAAAAATGAATGTTTCTTTCCATTCAGTACATATGAAATTTATCTTTCTTTTTACTGAAATTCAAATGAGTTATTAGTGTGTATAATGGTTTCAGTGCCCCATTCAACACTGTTACAGAGATGTCAATCTTCCCAATTGTGGCGGGAGACTCCAGAAAAATGAGTCAATCTCCCGGCCATGGCCATCTACCGATTTTCCTTATTTTTGCCCAATTTTGCTGGATCTTTCTAAAAATCATGAATAAATATGACCATTAATAAAGTAATGGAGTGGTCTCCCATTCGTGTTAAGAAAGGAGGCTAGCTACGGAGTAGCTAATCCGCGAAGCAAGGCCCATAGTTGCTATACGAGATAGGTCTATCACTATACTATACCATAGTAATTATAGTGACTGCCATAAAAGTAATTGAGCAGTGTTTCATTCATGCGAACAAAGGGGGCTAACTAGAGTGGCAAATCTGCGAAGCAATGGTTCCGCGAAGCTAGGCCTGTAGATTATTAATAAATGGTTGATTGGGTCTCGGGCGCGTACCTTTACTACCTGAGTGATGACAACCATTAAAATCCACTGCTTCATGTATGACCCATTGGTACGTAGGGTTAATAATTCAGCTTAAGTCTTAAAGGATAGATCTAGAGCTTTAAATATTGGTAATTAGCATTTAATACATTATCATCTTTTTTTTGTTACATTTCTAGTACAACAGTGATAGTACCTGCGAAACCGCTTGATTTTGAAATCTTCCCATTTATTAAAATTACCCCTTTAAAATTTTGGCTCATCTTCCTAAAATCTATCCTGGCAGGTTGGCATCACCGCTGTTAGGTTATTTAAGAGACGGGACCACCGGATTTAATGCTGATCTCTGACAAAATAGGAGCCGACAGTTTTGAGAGCCTTGATAAATCCACAAAACAACTTGAGTTCAAAAGTGTGTTGGGGATCTGAACAAGTATCCTGTGCTCCATGGCTCAGCGTGGTTCTGTACTGAATAAATATGTTACATTGTAATGAACTTATAACATTCTTTTGCTAGTTGTTCCGTAAAAGATTTGACTACCTTATTATCACCTTTCAATTATAATTCCAATATTTCTCTTTTGCAGCACTGAAATTCCAACAGAACAACGGGTAAAGAAATGGTCCTACAGTTTGAGAGCATTACTTGCAGATCCAAGAGGGAAAACTGAGTTTGAGAACTTTCTAAAGAAAGAGTACAGTCATGAAAATTTCCGTTTCTGGAAGGCTTGTGAAGACTTGAAGTTCTGCCCCCAGTCTGGGTTACCGGCCTGTATACAGAAAATAGCCGAGTATGTAGTTGTTCTTTAAAAATTAATGATAACTTGTGTAGGTTTTTTTTTCTCCCCAGGTCTTTTGGGTTCTCTTTTTTATATTTATTACTTCAGGAGGGGATAAAAAAAGAAAGGGGAGGGGAATCTGTATGACTTAGTGTTTTAGTGGTTGGAGTACTTTCCCAGTCTTATTTATATAGGGGTACTTGTGCAGTGATCTCAGACGTTGTGTCCTTGAGAAAGACACTTTACCCGAATTTTCCTCACTTCACCCAGGTGGAAATGGGTACCCGGCTATGGAAAGCGAAAGATGTTGTCAGTTTGTTTGTGTTTGAGTGCTTAATCAGCTGCTTGCACTGTATGCTTCCCGGGAAGCTGAGAATGTTTCAGAGTGTTCTATGGTCTGCTCTGGTAATAATATAGTGTAAAGCGCATAGAGCCTGCTGTTGAGCGGGGATATGCACTGTACAAATGCTATTTATTATTATTATTAATAGCATGCACACTGGGTTACAAGAAAAGCAAATTCTTATGCGAATGTGCTATTTAGTGAATCATGAAGATAAGTTATCCTGAGTCAATATTCTGTCGAATTTCATGGATTGATTTGAACCACCTTACACCTGATCTCCAGTGGTGGGTTCCATTATTGAGCTGATCTGAGCATGAGTTGTGAAGTTTTTCATCTAAGAACCTGAAAAAGCAGCCACTGTTTTGAGATAGATCACCTATTAAAATTACTCATCATTTTTATTGACCAATTATTTATCTCTCATGTCCTGCTTCTTTGTACTGACTACTTGTGTGAAATGTCGGATAAAATCATCTTCAATTATGATTTGCTTTTTATTATGTACTAAATGGTTCAATTAATGGAAAATTAAAATTTGTACCTTTTATTTGTGTTTTTCTATGCGGTTGAGTAGCAGAGAGTAGCTCTGGAAAATTCAGAATTTAAAATATTGTCTTACTAGTTTTGTATCAGCTTTTTGTATGATGCCGTCATGAACCCATCTTTGTGAGGCATATTAATATGCTTCACTCCATCTTTGTGATGCATACTAACATGCTTCACAAAGTTGGTTCATATCGGTAACTATGTCGAACCAATTAAAAATCCTTTTGTTTTTCTGTATGTAACAGAGAGTTCCTCACCCCTGGATCACATCATGAAGTTAACATTGACAGCAAGTGTAGCGAAGAGGTTCAAAGAAACATGAAATTGGCAAAGCCAAGCAGGTAATGGTCTAGCAAGTAAACTTTTGTTTTCATTATCTGATAGTTCAGTTTGCTTGAACACTTCGGTATAGATGACCATCTCTCCAAGTAATTCTGCTGCTTGAAGAGTGCTTTTCTTGTAATATCCGATGTTTTGGACAGCAAACCTTTCATTTTGATCCTCATTAATGGGAGTCTAAACTATGAGAGCACCAAAGGAAGTTGTTTGCTCAATGCAGCTTATTTATTAGAATTTTTAAAGTTGTTTTGAAAATATGTATTTGGGAGCAGAAAGATC